TAGTTGGCAAGTGAATTCATCAGGAGGTAAGAACCTGGGCCTGGGAGTTAGGTGAGCTGCAGTGGCCTTGAGGCCCTAGACATCCTGCCCATACAGCGGGCCTCAGGGCTGAAGGATCAAGTGATGGTTCAGTCTGCCCTGGCGTGTGGCTTTGCCTTCAGTGCTGGAGACTTGGTGGCTGAGGGCTCCTGGCATCTGTGTGTGTGGGCCTGAGGGGGGTTGCTCCTGGCCTCAGGAAATATCACAGCTTCTGGACCTCCAGCTCCCTGCCTCCCCGAGCCACCATTAGAAAACCTCCAGGCAGTCAGGCCCAGCTTTTCCTCATGATGACTTGGTTGGGGCTGTGGTGTTGGGGGGTGGTGGTGGAAGTGTGGGTGGTCCAGAAAAAGCGCACACTCAGATTTTGCTCCCGGACTCCCTTCCTTACCTGCCAGTAAAGGAGGAGAAAGAGCTGCTGGGAGGCTGCCTGCAAGGCACAAAGCAGCCTCAATGGGCATGGCTGCGAAGTGGGGCCAAAACCAGCACTGGCTGGAGGAGTGGAATTTGACAGTCGTTTTCTGCCCGGGTAGGATGTTTCTTTTCTGGGACGGACGCAATTGTTCAGGGGGACTTTGGGTCACCTGTTAGCAGGGATGGTTTATGTTGGGCCTGCCGTGGGGACTCCTGTTCTCTGTGTCCATGGAGGTAGGCCAGCTCAGCAGCTTGTTCCTGAACCAGCCATGGTTGCAGACAGAATGGCGAGGGATGTTGCCTGGTGCCACCAATGCCTTCCTGAGCCATCCTGCCTTGCCCTGGGGTCTGCAGAGTTCTGTGAGAGTGGGTAGCTTTGGGGGCAGAACCATCATCCTGGTGGATGAAGGGCCAGCCAGGGGTTCTCTGAGCCTGTCTGCAGTCAGGTGAGGCAGAGGGAGCACCAGGTCAGGCCAGACTTCTAGGTAGCACTCCATTCAGTGCTCCTCAGCAGATAGCCAGTGAGCAGGTACTGCATGCCAGGCAGCAGGATGCCTTCACAGACCAGACACTGCCCTTGCCTCACAGAGGTTTGGGAAGATCACATGAAACAGGATGGGAAGTGGAAATGTGAAATAGAAGGTGCCTCACGAACAAGGTCACTGGTGTCCCGGGAAGCAGAGCGGGGTGGGGGGTGGGGTGGAGGGCAGAGGCTCTCTCCTTACTCTACTCAGGGGCTGGAGCCCACCGATCTCGGGAACCGCTGACCCCGGGGCTGCGGGGCTGCAGTATTCGGGAGCCAGGCAGCAATGCCCAGTTCAGGCAGCAGAGGGCAGCATGGGGCCTGCCTGCCGGCCTGGTGAGGAGGAGAAGGGCGATGGGGCAGTCAGGAACACTGGAGACAGGTGGGGAACACGGTGGCGGATCAGCTTTCTCTTGGGGGTGTGTGCAGGTGGCTCCTCCCACCCAGCCCCTTGGAAGCCTGGCTGACAGGTGCTTAGCCCTCTGGACCAGAAGGCCTGGCCTTGCCCATCGAGTAGGGCACTCTTCCGTCAGGGGATTTGACCATAATTTGTGGCCCTGGTGTGTGTGTGGGGGGGAGTGACCGCTCTGAGAAGTGACCCATGGCCATTTCTGTGTGTGTGACCAGTTGTGTGGGGCCGGTCTGAAGAGAAAGTGTAAAACCATCTGCTGTGGCTGGAGAGACCTGATCCCCAGTCTGGCCCGCTCTCTCCCCCAAACACCATCTCAGAGCTTTGTTGCCTTTCTTCCGGGAGGGCACGCGAATGTAATCATGATGCGCATGCCTGCCTGAGGCTAGCCTGAGGCTTCCACTAGCCCGGTGAGACCCTTGGGGCCCACGCAACCCAGGAGGACTTCCTGCCAAGAGGCTCCATCCCTGATTTACCTGCTTGCCCCCCACCACATCCTCAAAACACAGCTCGTTAGAGAAGAGTGGCTGCCAGAGGGCAGGAGGTAAGCTTTGGGGAGACTAGGGCCACAGGAGGCTGCTTCCCCTGGAGTCTGAGAGGAGGCGGTGGCAGTGGCTGGGCCCGGCCTTTCCAGCAATTAAAATACAAGTGGGTGAAGGTGACAGCGAGTGCCGGGCTCTCCAGGTAGACGCTACGTGACTCCTGGCATGTTGAGAGTCCGTGCACGAGTGTGTTTCCTGGGCGACCAGCTGAGCCAGGGACAAGGAGAGGAGGACAGGAGTGTGACAGGAATGCAAGGGAGGGGGGGAGGCAGTGCTGTTGGCTGGCTGGCTCCTCACATGCCACTTCTGTTCGCCGCCAGCTCAGGGTGCCACCACCTGCCCGGGTCAAAGCCAGAGCTTTCCAGGTGCATGTAGGTCAGCCGGCACCAAGTGCCACCACCACCACTGAAGGCAGGCACTTCCTTCAGCTTGCTTGGCGCCGCCCCCCTTGCCCCGGTCGGGGTACTGCATTTCTCTCTGGTATCCCTGCCAGCTCCCCCTTGCTCTCGGTGGGGGCTGGGGGTGCCCTGCTGAGCCTGGGCCCCTTCATCTACCGGAGGCAGGAGGTAGGAGGTGGCCAAGGTTGTGCGACGGAAGGTCAGACCTTGCCGGGGTGTGCCAACGTGCTGGTGACTGTGAACTCGAGAGCGAGGCCTCCAGGGCTTCATTTCTTTCAGGGCATTTGGGCCCAGGCAGGTTGCAAGCTGCCTTCCTGGGTGGGTAGAGAGAAGTGAGGCAGAGCCTGACCTGCTTTCAGTTCAAGAGAGCTGTGGCGGCTATGGGCTCTGAGGGTAGGGACTGTCCCCAGATGAGCTCTGGGCACTGGTGGGGGTGACTGGATGGTGGTAGGGAGGTTGGGAATGTACCGTCCTGGGGTCTGTTCTTCTGGCCAAAAGCTGAATGTCATGCACCAGGGACACTTTGTTCTGTCACACCCTCACTCCCATTCCCACCCCCCCAGGCAATCCGTTTTCTGTAACGAGCGACTGGGAAAGCAGCGGGCTAGGGCCTCTAGAACTCTGAGGGCAGGTCTAGGAGGTGGAGGACCTCAGGTGCTCAGAGAGGAAAGCTGTAGGAGCCAGGGGAAAACTACCCCCTTCTCTGGCCAGGAAAGGGCCCCTCTTCCCAGTGTCCCAGCCAGAGCTCTGCTAACCCAGGGGCCCTCTTCTCGATGCCATCTGGCTGGCACTGTGTGGGCCTGGGGGCGGGATGAAGGCCACAGCTGTGGCTTCCACTGCACCTTCTCCTGAACAGGTGGTGGTGGCACTTGGTGCCGGCTGACCTACAGGCACCTGGAAAGCTCTGGCTTTGACCCGGGCAGGTGGTGGCACCCTGAGCAGGACTGGGCTGCTATGGGGCCCCAGGGAGCCTGGGGGTCAGGTCTCTCAGATGCAGGGTGGCCCCTGGTGGGTGGGGATGGAGCTGTGAGGCTGTTGGGTGTGGAGTGACCAGGGTGGGCCATGGCAGGAGGAGGCCTGTGGGAAGCTGGGGTGGTGGGAGCCAAGCAGCCAGGCTGAGCTGGCAGCCGATGAAGGCCTCAGCGCATCACTGGCTGTTCCAACACCGAAACCTTCAAAGCATTTGCCTTTCTGGCAGGGCCTGGAGCAGAGCTGCGGCTGGGCCAGGGAGAGGCCTCAGTGCGCAGGGGAATAGAAGCTCCAGATCTGCATCCAGAGGCGATTTTCCCAGGCTCCTTCCTCCCACACAGGGGCTCCCTCCCTTGGTTCTGGAGCCGGATCAGGCCCTTCCCGCCAAGTCCTCATGGCTGCACAACTCAGCCCCGGGCTGGGCTGCTCCTGTCTGGGGAGCAAACATCCAGGGCAAAACCCAGCATGGACAAAGGCTCATTAGCTGCAGCTCAAGTCCCCTCCCGCCAAGCATGGCTCCCAGTCCACCGGCTGCCAGGTCGGGCTATTGAGCTGGGAGGCCTGAAACAGCCCAACTTCTGTGCACCCCTGGTCAGGTCTAATCCATCTCGGAGCAGAGGCTTCTGGGACTGGGGACGAGAGAGCAAAGGGGCAAGAAGGGCAAACTGCATCAGGACTGCAGGTCACCGGTGACGGGCTGCCCCTTGTATTGAGTGCGGAAGCCTGGAGAGAGCCTCTCCTAGCCGGGCCCCATCTCCCCCGCCTGTGGACTCCGCTTCCTCCCCCATTCAACCTTTAACTAGACTTGCTGACAGGAACGAAATGAAGCGGGGTGTGCTTCACCTCTTTTCATTTCCTTTGCCCTCCCTCTGGAAGTGGTTTTAATGAGCAGTGAAATGGCTAAAAGGCAATCAGGAGGGGTAAAGCGCCAGATAATTAAATTGTCTTCCCTTTCCCAGTGGAACCGTAGCACCCGGGCCAGGCTGCCCAAGGGGCTGGGGCGCCTCTGCAGAGGGCAGAGCTCTGGCTCCCCAGCATCTAGGCCTCCCCTCCTGCCCGCCTCCTCCCAGGGTCCTGGAGCATCCAGATGGAGAGGGGCAACGCTCTGGTGGTGCTGCGCAGCCTGCTCTGGCCAGGCCTCACCTTCTTCCACGCTCCCCGCACCAAGAACTATGGCTACATCTACGTGGGCACCGGCGAGAAGAACATAGACCTCCCCTTCATGCTGTAGGAGAGGGCCAGCTGGGGGGAGTATATTAGAGTCTAAACATTACTTTCGTAAATGGCTGTGAATTTGGTCTGTTTGTTCTGTCCCGCCGCTTCTCCACACCTCTGCCCCCATCTGGTGTCCAGGCTCTGAGGACAGGCCATTGTGCCGGGAGACCCAGCTCTAGAGCAAGCGGCGGAGGGCTGGAATGTGCTCATGAGAGAGGTGATGGTGGGTGGAAAGGGCTGTGGGAGGTGGGGACGGCCAGGAGCCCTCGGAGGAAGGCAGCCCAACCCACCTCCTCACAGCCCTCAAGCTGAAGAGCTGAGGGCTTGTCAACACAGGGCATGGGAACCCACTTGGCCCAGAAACTTCCTCTGGTGGCATTCATGTGGCCTATCACAAGAGATGAGTGACTCAGTGCTCAAGAACTGGCTAGAACGGGCTCAAGCCCCCTGTACTTCCCAGGCAGTAAGCACACACCCAGTGGCAGAGTCTAAGAGCCTGGTTGATGACTTTCCTTTGGGGAGAACTCCTGTTCCCCAGCACTAAGCACGGCCCACGGCGGTCACGAGACCACCGCTGCTGCTCAGGGACCCGACCATCATCCTGGTGCTGTTGCCAGGTGGGCTGGGGGCACTGAAGTCGGTCCCACCGCCGCTCGCACCTGCCGGGGGAGCTGGGCTGCCGTGGCGGGACGGGGCTGGAGTGCAGGCGCTCTGGTCATGTTCTCAGGGAGCCCTGCTCCCAGTCAGTGATACAGCATCAGAGGCTTTCTTGAGTAGGAGACGTTGTCTTTCAGGAGGGGTGACCCCACGGCCATGCGCACTTTGTTCCAGCGGTGGCCTTTATTATAGATGGGCTTGACAGAGCGTGGAGACCAGCGGGTCAGGTACCTGTGGAGGGTAGGGAGGTGGCTGTGAGGGCTGGGGGGGCGCATGCTGGAGCTGGGACAATGGGTTGTGTCTCCTCCGGCCAAAGCCTTTCACCAGTTTCCCTTCTCGAGGAGCAGGGGCTTTTTCTGGGAGCAATGGCTGAGTGTGCCGTAAACAGATGGGCTGGGCTCTTGCTGCCGCAAGCGTGTGTGGCCAGGGTCAGGCAGCCCAGGGCCACGCGCTCCCTTGATCTTTATGAGTTGTCAATGTTTGTGTGTATACTTGCTGGGGGAGGAGGCAGAGGAAGAGGCTGCCCAGAAAGCAGATCATTCCTCTCTGGGCCTCAGTCATGGGGAGAGGAGAGGCTGATGTAAGGCCTGGAGAGATCCTTCCCTCTTCCCCACTTGGCTCAGTCTGTCACCCCAGCCTTCCAGGAGCTCCCCTGGGCGGCCATCACTGGTGTAGGACCCCTGCCCCTCACCCTCGTAATGGGAGCCAAGGGTGAGGGCCCGTGGTACAGACCTAGCCCAGGAAGGTTCCTGTAAGTAGGAGGGGGGTGGAGAAAGATGGCTGCCGCCCACAGTCCTTTGGCCTCCTTTGGGGATGGCCAGGGCCCTGACAGTTCCCGGAAAAGTGGCTCATGCCGGCTGGGACTGGGGTTTACTCCATCCAGAATGCAACTTGGATCCTGTCCAGAGAGGCCCACCCTTCGTCCTCAAAGCTCAGCCATGGCAAAGCCAGGCTCCTCTCCTGCCTCCACTCTAGGCCGGGGCTCAACCCAGCTGCCACTAGAGACCCTCGCATGAGAGACTTTTTCATTTAAAAAATTAATCACCTTGGTTGAGAATTTTTAGATAAAACTAAAAAAAATGACTACTGATTTACATATTTCAACTGAGCTCCCCTTCCCTGGACCTTGGTTTCCTGCTCTTAGTCCTGAGCAAAGGGAACAGCTCTGCGAGGAAGTAAAAAGCTGTGGGAGGTGCTGGCCTACACTCCAAGTATGAGGTGGGCAGGGAGGGGGGTACTCTCCACGTGTACTGTCAATGTCAATGCCCCCTAACAGGGAGGCCTCTGTGCAGTGGGTGGGGCCGACGGCTGGCTTCTCTATGGTGGTGCCGGGCTAACAGAAGTGTGAAGGTGAAGTGAGGGGAGCACCTGGCAGGCCCCTGAACCGGCATCTCCCAGTTTTCAGAGGGGGTGGGGTAAGAAACAGAGAATGGGAGCAGGCTCCCTAAAAGGAACGCGCAGTGGGATCAAGGACCCCGGGAGAGCCTGAGGCTGACCAGCTTGTCCAAAGCTGCTGCCCTCAGGCTGTTTTCCCCCTGCCCTGGAGAGAGCGGAGGGAAGCTGGGCTTCAGCTAGCCCTGGGCCTGAGGCCTGTGCCTGTGCCACTCGTAACAGCCAGCTGGGGGGGGCGGGGCAGGCGGTGGTTAGTGGTCGCCAGTTAGCTCTCGGGGCAACACTCCAGCCTTAGGAAGAATCAAGGCTCCTTCGTACCTCTCCTGAAGGGGCAGAGGAAGGAGGAAGTGTGGCTCCCTAGGGCCCAGCAGAGCCTGGGCCAGTCCACGGCAGCTCAAGGACCTCTGGATGGAATCATAAAGTCCCTTGATGCAAGAGAATCACACTCCTTCGTAGCCAGGACTCCCCCTCCCCCCTAGAGTGGCCTTTTGCAACCCAAGAGCCCCCACACATCATCAATCCTGTGTCACGTTAAAGGACACCGGATATATGGGAGGGAGCCTGGCCTTGCTTCAAAGGCCTGAGGGCAGGATGGATTATGTCCTTAGGCCTGCTGCTGTCTCTTTACAAGTCAGACGGGAGGGTGGGCTCAACTTCCAAATGGTCCAGGGCACAAGCGGGAAAGACAGGAAGAGGTTAATATGTCCTGCTCCCCCAGGTTGCTGGCAGATGGCCCAGCTAGCCATGTGGGAGGTTCAGGTGGAGATGGGCATGGGGCCAGGGTGCTCGCGAGGTGTCAGTGAAGACCCAACTCTGGCCCTGCACCCCCAGTCCAGCCACCCGGAGTTGGACTTGCCTGGCCCCCCACCCTCCGTGCCTGCATTTTGTTGGGGATCAGCCTTGGAGGTTAGCTGTGGAGGCGCTGTCTTGCCCTGCTTCAGCCATCTTGGGTCCCCTAGAGAGAGCAGTTACAGTGGCAGCTGGACAGACCGAAGAGGGGAGGGGCCGCTGACAGGGCGAGTGAGAGAACAAGACCAGAATCAATTCTATAGATGTGGATCTACTCTCGAGCAGGGACTACTGCAGATCCAGGAGGACGTGAGTGTGGTCTTGTCGGGGCCGGGGGGCGGGGGGGGGGGGACAGGGAGCTCACGGCAGGATGGCTGTTTGAGGGTGAGATGGGAATCTGCTCCTACACCAGAGGGGGCCCCCCTGCTTTGGCTGGAAGGCAGCCTGACTGATTCCAGGGTCTGGGGGCGTTCCTCCACTCTACAAAAGCCCAGGACCTCCCAGCCCGCTCCAGGGCAGCTGTGCAGGTTAACCGCACGACCCTAGGGAGCGCTATGGAGGCTGAAGTTCTGCAGTGCGTGACGGGCACAGCTATATGCGGTGGCCCTACCCCAAAGAGCCCTCCCCTTTCTAAGGCCTCATTTTGCCCTTTAATAACCCCAGTGCTGGGATACTGAAAAGTTTGTAGGAGTGCTCTGACATTCCCATAGCAACCCAGTGTGATGTCATAAACCGGGGATTAGCACATTCTAGTGCCCAACCGGCAGACCTTACCCTTCGTGCCCCCGTGCTAAGTGCCCAGCTGGGAAGGGGAGAGGAGAGAGTCTGAGGCCAGCAGGGGAGATGCATGGAAGTGTGCACAGGATCCACCCAGCAGTGCTGGGGCTGAAGGGGGTGGGTGCTCACGCGGGGAGGGATGGAACAGACAGCCAAGGGAGCACTCTAGCTTTCCTGGGCTGTGGGACGAGCTCCAGACAGTGAGAGCTGAGGGCCTGCAGCATGCTCCGGGTGGCGATACCCGGCTTTGCTTACCGGTTGAGTTGGGGTTTGCTCTTCGGAACAAATCCTTCAGGAAGCTGAGGCCTGTGATTTGGGAAGAGACCTGAGGAGAGACAAGAGCATGTATGGGATGGTCTTGCAGCTCCCTCTGCAGCTCTTGGGGGTAGACAGAAAGCCCAAGGGGGGTGGGAGGCTGGCACTGGGGGGGTGAGTACGGTGAAGACTCTGGATGTTCCTATCTCTTCCAGGAGGGGCTGGACCAGGGGGCAGCCGGCAAGGGGTGGGATGGGGGGACGGTGCCTGTAGCCCTCTGCCCCAAGAGGGCCTTCTACCTGCTCGGTGGGCCATCTTCACGCACTCCTCAATCTTACGGTGTTCTTCCTGGCACAGGCCTGTGATCCTTCGAGGCAGCATGCCTCCACAAGGCCGGAGGAACTGACTGAGCAGCAGAACGTCCTAGGGGAAACGGAAAACTGCAGTCAGTCAGCCGGTGGGCGTCTGAAATGGGGCACCAGGGCCTCGTGGCCTACAGGGGAGGCCGTCCTACCCCAGCACCCTGAGGGGTTGACGTCTCCCTCGGGAACCAACCGGGGGCCACACCCTCTACACAGAGCTTTTGCACACTGGTCTATTTTTACCCTAACAAAACCTAAATCCCAAGTTGGTAAGATTTTCCAACCCCAAGGGCTCTCAGCATCTCCATGAGAATCTTCGAGAGATTACAGAACAGAAACTCTTCAAAAAGTGTTCATCTTTTGAGCATGGGCAGCATCTCTCCTGGTAATGAAAGGCCTGTTATTCTCCTTGGGCGAGGTAGGGGGCGTGTCATAGATTTCCACACAAGGGGGAAAAACCACTACGGTTTCTACCCCTAGAGCCTACAGGCCTGAATCCACACAGACAGCCCCTCCACCTCTGCAGTTCCCCTGCAAGCGCAGGCAGCACAGAGCTGGGGAGGAGAGGATCCGGGTGGTGAAGTTAAGAGCCACATCTTCTAAGCCCCCGTGGCCAGATGTGAATGGATTCTCGGGCTTCCTTTGGACCATCAGACTGCTTTGGACGAGTCAAGGGCACAAGGATAAACACAGCCAAAATCAAGCCAAGAGACCACTTCCCCTTCCAACTTTCACAGGGTGGCTGAGGGGGTTAAACAAAAGCCACAGCTTCCCCCAAGGAGAGGGGGGCCCCGCCCACCGAGGGGCCCGCCATGCCCGTCTTCGCGGTCCTGTCGCACAAACTGATCTGCTGCCCCGGCAGGCGCCTCGCTGTATAACTGCAGATTTATTTTAATCACTGGACAGCTCCTGAGGGACCCGGGCCCCCAATTCCCACCCCTGTAATCTTTAGAATCTGGTGAAAAGAACTTGGATTGGATTATCCAGGACTAATAAACTGGGCCTGCAGCCCCAGCTCCCCACCGTAGGCTGCCAAGCAAGCTGACAGCTTTGTGCAGCTCAGGCTAATGGTGTCCTGAGTGGAAAGGGGTAAAAGGAAAACAACTTTAGCCTTTACCTCGGGGGGGGATTGGATTTCGTCTGTTGGATAAATAGAGCCAAGTCCATTTCCTGGAAATGGCTGGTAGAAAGAGTGCACCACGGTGGTTAGGCAGGTGTGGACTTTACTTCCCCATCTTCAGCTGGGATTCTAAGTGCGGCCACGACCACACTAACTTCTATGTCACAAGAAGCTGTGAACACTGTCCCGTGGCCTGTAGGTTTCCTATTAGTCCGGGCAGCCATGAGCAGAAGGGCCAGGACCAGAGTGAAAGGAGCACCCCCCTCCCCGCCCAGTGGCCCAGAGCCAAGGCTCCCAGCCCAGGAGATTAGTTGGGTCATTCTGTTCGGATCCCATGGGCATGTGGCCGCTCCTGCTCCCACCACCTGACCGGGACCTCTGTCTTTAGTCATCCCATTCCATAGAGCGGTACAGGGACAACTTGCAGGTCAAACTGGCCCAGAGCCTGAATCACCTGAAACCTAAAAATAGGGTGCTTAATGTCACCAATAGAACCCTGAAGGACAAGTATGGATTTCTCTAGGGCTGCGTCCTTCCCCCAAGCCCGCTCTGTTTCTAGCGAGGATGGAAAGCAGTCATCAGGGTAGTAGGTTCTGCCTGGGTTTTGTACCCCTGGAGTTTATAGCCTGGCTCTGATATTAGCTGGGTGATCTGAGGCAAGTCCATCAACCTTCCCATGCCTCGAAGTTCCTCGTCTGGAAATCAAGGATGAAAACAGTACCTACTTCATAAGGATATTGTGAAAGCCAAGTGAATGAGGGCCTGTAAATGCGTACCACAGTGCCTGACACAGAGCCCGCACTGTGGGGCTTCCCATTCTTAGTCACCATCAGCATCTTTCCGTGGAGAGAACAGCTCTACAGGAGCTGGAGCAAACAGGAGTCTTTGGAGCTCCAGAATGGAAGGAGACAGTAATGTGTCCCCAGGTCATAGTGAGGACTCTCCAAATATACCCTCCTTATAAAAGGAGGAAAGCCAAATCCAGAGCCTGATTCCATCCGTTGGGAACGCACCCTGCAAGACGGGGTTACAGGGCCCTGGTGGTCTGAACTGCATGCAACCAGCGCCATGATCTGGATCAATGCACCGTAGAATCACCTGGGGAGCTTTAAAAATGAACGATGGCCAGGCTCCACCCAGACCAAGCGCAGTCAATGTCTGCGGGTGGGGCCGAAGTAGGATTTTAAAGCTCCCTGGGGCAGCCGGGGTTGAGAGCCACTGGACAAAATGCTTCTGCCTTTGGTGGCTCCAGGAGATGCAGCAGTGGCTGGGGAGTGGGGAAGCCGCTGAAGTGAGACAGGGACGGAAACCTCCAGGACATGCAGCTCACCTCATAGCCATACTTGTGCTTCAGGTTCCACCGGCAGATGGGGCACTGGCCAGAGGGGTTCGGGGGCTTTGCGCTTTCCTTGGGAGTCCCTGTTAACCGGCCTTCAATCTAGGAGGAAGAGAAAGAGAGCCAGTGAGGGAGAGGGCATGTGGAGCCTCAGATCCTTGAGCAACCCCCCAAGTGATGAGACGCCAGGAGAGTTAATCTCTGGGGGCCTTTGTGGGGGTGGCTAATAGGTCTCTCCACCTCCCCTGCGGCGGTGGTTCTGCAGCTATTGCATACCAGACCTCAGGGTGGCCACAGAGACGTGACCTGGTGGCATGCGAGCGTCGTGGCAATTAGACAATGCTGGTAAGCAAGAGGCAGGGGTTTGTTCTATCAGCTGAATGCTACCTTTCCTTCCTCAAAAACAAAACAAAACACCAGAACATTACGCTTCCCGCTCTGGGAAAAAGTAATACCTGCACAAGGTAGAAAGTTTCCTTGATGCGGGGATACACAGTGAAAAGGAAGTCTCTCTCCCATCCCACATATCATGTCCTTCTCAGAGGAAACTGCCCTTTCCAGCTTCACTTGACAGAGGCCAACCTATACCAGCGGTTCCCAACCAGGCAGGATTTTGCCACCACCCCCCCCGCCCCGGCAGACACTGGACAATGTCGGAGACATTTCTGACTGTCATGGCTGGGGGATGGGGTGCGCCAGGCAACCAGCAGGGAAGCTGCTAACCATGCTGCCCCCCTATGACAAAGCCCTAGCCAGCCCCAAAGGCCAGCAGCTCCAAGGCTGAGAGAGCCCACTCTATGCCTTTCCAAGCAGGTACTGTGTGCATGCCTGCTTCTTTGCTTGCTCTTTTAGAAACACACATGGAAAGATGTATTTGCCTGCCCTCCTCACTTTTATCATTTTGGATGCCACCTTTCAAATCCTGCTGAGGCCACGTGTGCAGTGACCTCCGCCATTGCTCTGTATCCTGTGACACAGCCTTGGAATTACCAAGTGCAAGAAGCCAATGATCTGGGAGGCAGCTCTGATTACAAGAGGGGGAGTTTAGAAAGCCTTGCTGATTGAGGCCATGGATTATGACAGGGAAGTTGGGACAGGTCTGAGGCTTTGGGAGGGAAGTAATACTGTCTCCTGGGGGAGAAACTGGCAAAAGGGAAAGGGGGCTGTGCGGGGTCCTGCGACCCGACTTTCTGCCGAGGGCACCGTAGCCACGCCAGAAACGAAGTGCACTAGGGAAAAAAATGTGGAGGTGCACGCTGGGTCTTGGAAGGGGGTTATGGTGGGCCTGGCGGGGGACAGGGCTAATATTTATTGACTCCCCTTTGCATGCCTGGCTCTGTGCTAATAACGGTTCAAACGTATCACCTCATTTCACCCCCAAGACCTCGTGAAGGAGGATTCATGATCTTATGTTATAGATGAAGAAAGTGAGACCCCAGAAAGTGAGCAATGCCCGGTTAGCCGCAGCGGTAGCTGTCCCCGGAGGCACGGATGGCCTTCCCTCCCCCAGTGGGTCTCACGGTGCCACGATGTCTCCATGTTCATTTTGCAAATAGCAGACTAACGCCTCACATGAGAAACACTCCATACTCAAAAGCCAGATATATTTTTCTCCACCAGCATGGAGTTCCTAGGGTGAATGCTTGTTTTGGCTTTGAATAAGGGAACCAAAAGAGGTGCCCAAAGGGGGTGGGGGCCCCCTAAAAAGAACCATTTTGAGGCTAAGCAGTGAAAAGGTGAGGAGTATTCTGGGGAAGACCCAAAGAGGGAACCCTAAGGGCTCGTCCTGGGGTTAAGACTGCTTTGGGGGAGGACCGAGCTTGGCTGGCTGCCAGAAGGGTTAAATCCCTGGTTGACATGGAAGTTACGGAGGCTTCTGGGAGCTCTGTGGAGTGGCTGAGATTTCCTGGAAGCATGGAAGGCCATGTGAAAACAACATTGTCTTTCAGGGATTATAGGATAATCTAGGCCCCATGACTCCCCGAGGAAGGGAGGTGAGATGGGCCCAACAAGGGAAAGGGGGGAGTAGGTGGACGAAGAATCATTCTAGCTTTTTAACCAACAGACAAGCCAGGGTGCCGGTCAGTGAGCCCAGGGCCCAGAGAGTGTCACCTTTTAATGGCATCACATAACGAGTAGCTCGGTCCAGGCTCCCGGCCATGGGTCAACTTACTTGGGCTCTCTAGTCTCGCCACTGCCTTGGTTTCCTCTTTGGAAAACTGATTTATCCCCACCAAAGACCTTTGAGACCTTATCATACAAAAGGCCACTTTAATCAAACAACGGATGCCTCAGTCCAGGCATGATGACTGTTCCTGATTCAACCACACGACAGCACACAGCTTGAAAAATGTTAGACTGTGGGATTTATGGTGACAGAGGGAGTTGCTCCTAATGCCAGGAGTCCAGTCTGGGTTGGCCTCCCTCCCCCCCCCCCCCGCAGCTCCAAGAGTTAAAGAGGATGTAAGTGGCCAATTTGATGATACTTACTGTAGTTGTCTTCCCTTCTTGGATCTCCACCACTACAGAGATAAAGGGGATAAAATCAGGTCAGCCACTTAATAAGGAACAGGGAGTTTCAAATAACAGCTCAAATTCTACACATGCAGAAAATCGGAGCCTTCGGTCTGCACTCTCCCACGGTCCCCACCTGGGAAAGAAAGCGTGCAGGGTTCATCTCCAAGTGCCAAGGCTCTATGCCCTCGAGGCTGGGTGGGGGCAAGCCTAGATGCCCAAGTAATACCATCTCTCTGGGATTAAGGGTCTCTACGCTGTTTTTGTCTTTCTAAGGCAAGATTCATCTTGGTTCTAAACCAAGGGAATTGGCAAGATCCTGCCCTCCCGTGGCTAGCAATAATGACCTCAAAGTTAGGCTGGGTGGGAGTGGAAGCATCCAAAAGACCTTCAAAAGTACCCATTGCGTGTGTCCTTTCATGACGAGAATCACACAAACATGGCTTCTGACCCTGAAGAATGTGCAGTCTCCAATACAGGCCTGAACTAAGGCTGCTCCAGAGGCCACAGGGCAGATAAGGAGTGAGAGCAGCTCACCCGCAGAACTCGGCTCGGGGAGCCATGCTAGAGCTCTAAGAGGCAGCTGTGTGAGTTAAATCCTCTGCCCTTCTGCACGCGGCTCGTGCAGGGTTGCACTGTGCTACACATGTACGCGGGAGCAGGTGGGGGCGGGGGCGGGGGGAGAGGGGCCTGCAGATGCCGGCCCCGGCTGAGTTCTCAGGAGAACGCTGCAAGTGCAAACGGAGGGGGGCTCCCTCAGCGCTCTGCCCAGAGGAGAACGAGGGCAGGACAGTAAGTTGCACACATCCCTCAGGCTGTATGTATTTCCTAGCTTACTTCACCAGGATGAAGAATGATAACTTCAAGAATATTCCAAGGAAGAACCAAGCCAATGGCGCACGTTTGGCCAATATAATCAAACAAAGCTCTTGGAGATTCCCCCTTGTTCTCCAGTGTCTTTAGAAAGAGCGGAGCCACTGTGGTTAGCGTGGGAACTGGCACGCAGCAGATGTTCAGTCAATGCTAGCTAGCACCAAGACCACGAAACGGTCGTCACGGCCCCCTTCTGACTGCTAATCACTGCTACACAAAACTTGGGTCGGCAGAGCTAGACTGCAAACTGTCTCCTTACATACAAACACCGTATCGAAACAGCAGCCGGGCTCCCACAAGTAGTTTTACTTGGCTTCAGTGAGGCAAGAAGTAGTGCAGCTTAGAAAGAGCCTAAGGTTCTGGGGAGGGGGGTGGGCGCCTGGGTGGCTCAGTTGGTGGAGCGTCGGACTCTTGGTTTTGGCTCAGGTCATGATCTCGGGGTTGTGGGATCGAGCCCCACGTCTGGCTCTGTGCTCGGCGGGGAATCTGCTTGAGATTCTCTCTCTCCCTTTGCCCCTCCCCATGCGCTCTCTTTCTCTAAAAATAAACAAATCTTTAAAAAAGAAAGGAAAAAAAGAAAGAGCCTAAGATTCTTAATGTTAAGAATCTAGTGAAAGTAATGGAACTTTTCCTGGAAACCTACTCATAAGCACACATACAGACATGTGTACCTAAATGGTAATGCTGGTTTTCTCTCGGTGGTGGCGGTACGTGATTTTTACTTTGTTCTTTATGCCTGCCTGGATTTTCTGAAGTTTTTTAAAATAAACATGTACTGCTTCTGCAATAAAAAATAAACAGTAAAAAGAGAGAAAGAGAACGAATGTCTAAGAAAAAAGTGAGGCAACTCTAACCCAACCGGAGGCCCTCGGCAGCATCTGCGATCACTGAGCTCTGTGACCAACACCTAATTGGTCACAGACTGCCTGGAATTGTCCCCCATTTGTTTTCTGCGCAAGGCCATTCATAAAGCCTCATTACTCTAAAACAACCAACCTGAGAGCCCCTCAGTGTTCCACTCCAGATACACACAAAGAAGCCACGATGGCCAGAAAGGCCCCAAGGCTTTCTCCAGAACACTGTAGTTAACTAATCAATTCAAAGACAAACTAGTTTTCTCCCTGTAAAAGAAAATGCGTCACCCCACACACGGATCTACTTGTTCAGAACACAGACCAGCCTAAACGGGATGTGGGTGAGACTCAGGGAGGTGTTCAGTCGGGAGGCCAGCACAGCTGTGGGGGGACAGTCACTGGAATATGTCAACCTACAGACATGGGGGAGCAGAAGCAGGGCAGAGCCCCAGCTCAGCAGGGCTTCCAGGCACCCCGGAAACTTTGCAAAAAACCAACCTGGGAGAGGGATGGAAGACAACCAAATCTAAGCAGCAACAGGTGAGGCGGAGGTTTCTAAGAACCCTGGGAGGAAACAAAAGGAGAGACACATTCCTGGTACCACTTGAGCCAGCAGGAGAAGGTGGCCTGAAACAAAAAGCGGATAAACATGTGGTTCCCCTCTCTGTGGAGGCACTTGGGTCCTAACCATGAGGTAAACAAATCTAACAAAACACACATCACTCCCGGCAAAGAACCAAACCCTGAAGTCATTCCATTGGCCCCTGGAAAAGAGATCAAAGCCTATGGCCAGCTTCACTGTTTGCCAGCTCCTCACACAGCAACCCTGAGCCAGTGAATCATCTTACTATATGCCAGTGGGTAAAACAATAGGCAGATGCTTATCTACTACAGACAATTTGTCAAACCAGAAAGAATGACCTGAGAACTCGTACAAGATTGAGAGTGATCAGGGCGGTGTCTCAGTGCAGGGGCAGGAGGCCTGGGTGGAACCTCAAGAAACCCCTAGATTTTAAGCCTCTGAAAACAGGAGGTAGGAATCAAAATAGTATTGCTTTCCAGTGTGCATACAAAAACAGGTCAAAACCAAACCAAACCTGAGATCCATTTTGTCCCTCGCCTCCTCACCACTCAAGATGGGGGTAACCATGAAAAACTGGACTAAGAGATTTAGGTACTGACAATTTGTTTAGAAAAAGGTGGAATCACCCTTGTGCTCTGAGATATGGCTATTATGATGTAAACTAAGGAAAAACATGAAACTGGAGTTTCTAAACTGGAGTTAGGGGCCAAATCTTCTAAGACCGGCAGTTCTCTCATACACATCAAATAACCCGTCCCACGTGAGACAACACATTTGCTGAGCCCCCAGGGAGTACAGCCCCGCTCCACCTACTGTGGAGGGCTACAACAGAATAGGAAGACAGTCTTTACTCTAGAGGAGAAAAGGGAACGAAACCAAGTATGGGAACTTCAGTACAATAAAAGTCTATGCCTCGTAAAGAGGTCCTTTGAGTACTTCAATAAATACTCGCTTAGGATGGAGTCCAAGATAACTGAATTGTAACAGTCTAGAGCAAACAGTGCTGGGCTGAGATTGTAGTGAACGCAGAAAGACCTCGATGGCCACATAAACACGGACACAGTGAAATGCAGCAGTATCAAGACCCAACTGTTTAGTGAAGGAGGAAGGAGGACTCATGAATGATGGGGAGGGCGCTGCTACAGGAAGTGCCCAGAAACCAAGTCCTTCTTGGAAAGGATCCATGGAAACCAAGTACCAAGCAGAGTATGACAGAACGGAGTCACTGATGGCTAAAAGGCGCCACTCACAAGTCTTGGCGGAGGGCCAGAGAGTGGAGTGTGTGTTTGGGACATGTGGCTGCACTTCCGGCCATTGACCACTTTTCTCAAACTCCTTCCCCACTTCCCTCTGTTCATCTTTAATTCTACTACTCAAGTTTTCTGATTCTCTAATCACCTACCCCGTTCTTTCCCCTGGACCTCTGAGGGAATGTCCCTCTGCACTAGGCTTTTTCCACTAGCAGGTTCCTCTGGACTATGTCCCTTGAAGTCTTTGAAGCCCCCAACTCACTCCCCTCTCAAAGCTTTTAGCTACAGGGCTGCCCATCCTGCCAGGTGCGTGCTTGTCTGAAATGCTAGGTCCTCCAGAAAGCCCCTCAGCTAACTGGAAAAGATGAAGAAAATTCCCTTCAGCCTTTACTCATTTCAACACGCTCTGCACTAGTTTCCGATAGATAAGTCCTGTTAATTCAGAGAGTCACATGTGTTTTTGTTTTAAATACATTTCCCTCCCAAGAGTGAGAAGGCAGGAATGAGATCTAACACAATCTTTCCCATAAAAAGCACAACACTGTCTTCTGCAAATTAACTGATGAGAGCTTTCAGGTGGGAGAACCACAGGGCAGCCCTCCCATGGCGTACCATGGCAGTCTTAATGGTGGAGAGGGAGGAGTGCTGGTTCTACTTCCAACGCCACCACTTACTAGCTGGGTGATCCGGGGCAGCTACTGAACTCCTCTGGGCCAGATTTCCTCAGTAATATGTCAGTAATATCTGCCTTTAAAGACTGTTGAGAAGACGGAATAAATATATGTGGAAAACCTAGCACAGTGCTTGCAGCAGGCACAGACTAAACCCCAATTTCCATTTTTGTCTTCCTTCACTTTTGTTCCTTCCACTATCCTTCTTGCCTTTGTGTGTCCCTCTTATCAAACTTTCAACCAGGCTTTCTCAATAGCAGCACAATTGACATTTCAGGCCAGGTGGTCCTTTGTTTGGGGGCGGGGGGGGGGGAACGTCCTGGGCACTGTAAGATGTTGAGCAGCATCCCTGGCCTCTACCCACCAGATGCCAGGAGTACCAGTTGTGACAACCAAAAATGCTTCTAGACATTGCCAGATGTTCCCAGGGGACAAAACTGCCCCCCAACTGAGAACGACTGCTTTAGCCTGAGAGTCTCTACAGGCAAGAGCACGGAATGCTGGGTGCTCATAAACTCTGACTAAAATTAAGTAATGCTATTTGATACTCTTGAAAATTTTCAGCAAACATCCAGCTTCCTGCCCACAACTTTAAACTGTGTGTACAATATTGTTTGGGTGTCAAATATACCAGCTGGGACCGGGCAGTCAAAATTAACTACATATTTAATATTTTACACCTTACACATAAAAGGTAGTATATCAAGACAAAGTTTTTTCTTTCTTTTTTTTTTTTAAGATTTTATTTATTTGAGAGAGAGAATGAGAGATAGAGAGCACAAGAGGGAAGAGGGTCAGAGGGAGAAGCAGACTCCCTGCTGAGCAGGAAGCCCGATGTGGGACTCGATCCCGGGACTCCAGGATCATGACCTGAGCCGAAGGCAGTCGCTTAACCAACTGAGCCACCCAGGCGCCCAAGACAAAGTTTTTTCATTTAAAGGCTTTGAAGACAGGTGGTTCTCAAGCAGAATAAAGAATAAGGTAGTGCCTTTATGTAAGATCACATCAATTCAATTATTTAGCTTTTAGGTCTGACAGCAAGTAACAGAAGAGTTACCAACCCAGGTATTTATGGAATGAAGTTCAATAAAGACCCATCTGATTATACAGTCCATCATTTCACAAAATCTCCAACTGGAAAAATTCCAATCTCAAATATTCTTTTGTAAACAAACAGACAAAAAAACTATTCCTCTTCCCCATTCTCTGGGAACATAGCAAAGAACTGTTTTCAACTCTGAATTTCACAATGGATATATAAATTACAGCTATTAGAGCCTGACACTTCATAGATACCCTCAAAAATGTTACGGGTATATGCTTATTTTGCAGCAGGGTATGGATGAAACATCTTCCCATGTCCTTCCTATCATCAGCATGATCTCTTTGGTACCTTTCTTTATTAATGGATTAGTTTATCTAATATTAACCAGGCAGTATCTGGATTTTGTTGTTCTTTCTACTATATGTTCCATCTTCCCTTCATAGCTAAATTCTTCTAACATACCTATTTTCATTTCTTCATGAAATATCTCTTTGATTTCCCCAAACTGGGACCCAGCCCTCCCTTCCCCTGAATCTGCCAGATGAGGCCGAGTCCAGCTGGTTGGGCTGGGCCTGGGCCTACAAGGAGCCCTGTCTGCCACTGCTGTTTGAAAGCTAAAATAGCTTTCTTTCTGAGACAAATCCAATGGACTCCTCTTTAGGTTCCTCTCTTTGGACTTTTTTGCTCCCTCTGACAACAATGATCCCTCTTTTCCTCTTGGCACCTCTCAACTTTAAAGGATACGCTGGCCAATACTATGCCAGAATCTTAAAAACAAACAAACCCACATCACTTCTTTTGCACATCATTCATCCATTCTGGCTTCCAGCAGTGCACAAAGGAAGGGTGCGTCCTGACAGACCTTTTTACTCTTTGCGAGATTCCATCCTTTTAAAAGCCTGTTCAAGACACTTTCCCCTCAAAACTTACAATTGGGTTTCTGTTTCTGGTAACCAAATCTCCCTGTAGTTAATCATGTAAATACCTAACTTGCATTTATTAGAGAGTATACATATCATCTTTTTAGAACCCAACTTCTCAAAAAAAAAAAAAAAAAAGAACCCAACTTCTCAGGAAAAGGGCTGAATTTCCTCTTTTTTCCAGAATCCCTTGACAGTCTGAAGTACAGTATTTGGCCTTCTGTAAGCTCCCAGTTCAAGGCTAGAATCAGACTGCCTTTCAAGGCTTAAGATTAATGAAAAGGAGAACCACCATCCAGCATTTGTGTCTGTTTCTGCTGTTCGAAGGCTTTTCCACCTTAGCTTCCACCTCTCTGGGAGACTAGGGGCCGGGGCAGAAAAAGACCCCATCAGAGCACAGCATTTTCAGATGAGAAACTGGAAAGGGAGGCCCTGGGGAGGACAGCCACATGTCCTTCTCTCATGGTCCAGGGATTTTTTTTTTAACAAAGGAGGTGGCGGCTGAGAGAATACGGAAAGCAAAACCAACACGCTAACCTCTACCGAAAACTTCTGAATCCCGGGCCAGGTTTCTTCCTGCCCCTGCTAACTAAGCAAGGTTTTCTTTCTGTCCTTCCCCGCCCCCACCAGTGAGAACACTCGCGAGCAGTGGGAGGTCAAGATAATAGCGTCAAGGTCTGGAAAGGGCTTTCAAGCACCCCCGCAGCGCCAGCATCTCCCGGGTTTCAGAACCGCGCGAAGGAAAGGGAGGGAGGGAGGGGAGCACACGGGGGCTGGAGAAAGCAAACTCCACTGATCTTTTCCTCAACCTTGGGAGATAACCGGGACCCAGGACTCACCTTCCCTGAACCCGCGAGCTGGAAGCCGAGCCCAGCTGGTCGCGATCGGGCCAGCCAGGAACCCTCGGAGCAGCCGTCTACTGGGGTACACCAGCACATTGAGGGCCGCCATCTTGAAAACCAACGGTGACCTCTTGTCCACTTCCGCTTCCGGAACGGCGCGCGCGCAGCCGCAGTGGTGAGCAGGAAGTGTACGGCTGTGGGCTTCTCGCTCGGATACTCTCGCACTTCCTTTTCCCTAGTCTGTCCCACGGAGGGCTAAACCTAGAGATTTCTGTGTTAAGCCTGTACTTCGTTCGGAGGGTCTAGGACAGGTGTTCTGGCTCCCGTCTGCCGGTCCTCGAAGTGTCAGGTCGCTTTCGTACCCTCACAGGCTTACACCACCCCTATTTACTTAAAAGCTTTTTCTTCAAGTCAGATGTGGATTTTTTGCTTCTTATGGCTAAGGCTAGACCTGTACAGTAGAGTTTGAGATTGTTAGGACTCTAGTTCTGGAACGTCAGGTATCAGGCCGACCTGGGATAGAATTAATTCCTAACTTCTCCGCCAATCTGTCTCCCCCCACCCCGCCCCCTAAAAACACACTTGTCTTTCATTCTCCTATACCTAACACTTCCTTTGGCCCCAGGGCCTTTGCATAGCTATTTCCTCTACGTGCTCTTTGGCCACTTGCTAAACTCCTTATTTCTCAGAGCTCAGCTCAAAATTCACTTCCACATTAGAGTCTTCCTTAACCTCCCTGTTACTGGCTCTCAGCACCAGATAACTCTCCATTTTAGTACTTGGCATAATGGGGTTTTACCTCTATTTGTGTAATATGTGTCTCTTCACCAGACTGTAAACTCCATGAAGGCAGAGATACTGTTTTTTTGTTGTTGACTTATATCTTCAGCAATTAATGCGGTGCTGAAACACAATAAGTGCAACAAATGAGTAGAATCTATCTCATAGGGTTGTGAAGATTAGATAAGACCTAAGTGCTCAATAAACAAAAGCTAATTAATAAGGCAATTACTGAGATGGCCCTCGTGCTAGGTACTTTTCATAAGTTTGATGTGCTTTCATAATGAGAAGCTTGTAGTACTATAAAGAAAACACAACTGCCCAGTTTTCCCTCTTTTGGATTTGCAGGATATATAGGATGCTCCCCTAGAGCTACATAAGAAATATACACAGCTCAATTCTTCCACTTGGTGAATAGGGTATTCTTTTCCACCCTCCAAAATAAACCTGAAAGGGGATTTTCTAGTTATCCTACCCTGACTCATAGATGGAAAAATCAGGCTCATTAAATGGCAGAGTATTAAATGTTTCCTGATAAAGGGGAGGGAAGGAGCCCATCTTCCAGTTGGGACTGTCACCCTGGTGGACTAAGGAGATGCAGAACAGCTGCTCTATGGGGACCTTGAGTGATATCGCCATAGACAAGGAAAACAGTAGAAATATGGCACTGGGTTACCATAAAACATCACATTCAGCAAAGGCAGATCCTGGAGAGAAAGATCAGTCTGGGAGAATGAGACAGACACATGAATTAGGAGTCGTGGAGAGGGTCTTGGTGGGGTATTTTTCAAGATATCCTGGCCAGGATCAGGAAGCTTTTCCTATAGCTTCCACTTTCCTTCTGTATGATGACCTTGAGCCCTTCTTGCTTGTACCATATCCCCTGTTTCTTTACAAGTCCCCAGCTTCTGATGATCCAGTAGCAACCAGGGCAGTAAGAGAGCCTCCACCAAGAGCTTATTTTGGACACAATGAGCTAAAGTATTTGAGTGCCAACCCTCTCTTCATTATCTTATCCTGACTTATTATAATCAAATTTTATTTTAAGAAACAACTTGTATTTTATACAATGACATAATGTGATTACTGTAGAAAAAATAAAACAGTAAAGTAAAAAGAAAATATATATCATCCATAATCCAGAGTTAAACATTATTTACATTTAGCAAAATGAAATAGTACTGAAATAATACTTGGCAATATCTTATTTTTCTGAACCTATTTATTATTAGTCCCTACATGAAAAAAAATTCTTTGAGACCAGACTTTGCTCAGGAGACTAGCTTTAAAAAAATTTTTTTTAGGGGCGCCTGGGTGGCTCAGTCGGTTAAGCGGCTGCCTTCAGCTCAGGTCATGATCCCAGGGTCCTGGGATTGAGCCCCGCATCAGGCTCCCCGCTCAGTGGAGAGCCTGCTTCTCCCTCTCCCTCTGCCTGCCGCTCAGCCTACCTGTGCTCTCTCTCTATCTCTCTGTCAAATAAATAAAAACCATAAAAAAATAAAAACAATTTTTAAATAAAGAATAACCTGTATAAGAAAGTACACAAATTATCAGTGTGCTTTTCACAGTGTGAATTTTCACAAAGGGAATACACTATCCACGCCACCAAGTAGAACATTAATAGCAGTTCAGAAGACCCCCTGGTGTCCCCTTCCAGATATTATCCCCTCTTCAAGGGTAATCATTATCCTAATTTTTGGCATCATAATTTACTTTTTCCTGCATTTGAACTTTGTATAAATAGAATCTACATAGCATGTGCTCTTTTGTGTCTGCTTTCATCTACTCATCAACACATGAGTGGGATTCACCCATATTGTTATGTATACTTGTTATTTATGCATTCTCATTGCTATATAATGTTCCACTGTGGTTATACTACAGTTTATCCTTTCTCTTGTTAATAGGATTTGGATAGTTTCCAGTTGGGACTATTATAAATTTTGCTGCGATGAACACTCTTCTGTATGATTTTTGGTGAACACAAGAACAAACGTCCCTGAGGAATATATATAGTAGTGGAACTGTTGGATCATAGGGTATATATGTACTTAGATACTACATAGTAGGTGCTGCCAACAGTTTATTTGGTACCAGTTGTGTATAATAGTTTTTTTTTTAAATTTTTTTAAGATTTTATTTATTTACTTGAGAGAGAGAATGAGAGAGAAAGCACATGAGAGGGGGGAGGGTCAGAGGGAGAAGCAGACTCCCTGCTGAGCAGGGAGCCCAATGTGGGACTCGATCCTGGGACTCCAGGATCATGACCTGAGCCGAAGGCAGTCGCTTAACCAACTGAGCCACCCAGGTGCCCGTGTATAAGAGTTCTTGTTGCTCCACATCCTTATCAATATTTGATATTTTTTGTGCTTTTCATCTTGGCCATTCTGGTGAGTATGTCATGGGACTTCATTGTGTATTTAATTTACATTTCTCTGATGCCTAATGAAGATGAATCATTTTTCATATGTTTATGTCATTTTAGATACTTTCTTTTGTAAAATGTCTGTTCAAGTCTTTGGCCCATTTTATATTGGGTTGCCTCTATTTTTTTTTTTTTTCAATGAAGTGATTTTTTTTTCAAGTTTTTTTATTTATTTGTCACAGAGAGAGAGAGAGAGAGAGAGGGAGAGGGTGTAAATCAGGAGGAACAGCAGGAAGAGGGAGGAGCAGGCTCCCTGCTGAGCAAGGAGCCCAATGCAGAACTTGATCCCACAATCCTGAGATCATGACCTGAGCCGAAGGCAGATGCTTAACCGACTGAGCCACCCAGGCATCCCTGCCTGTATTTTTCTTATTGATTTGTAGAAGTTCTTTATATATTCTGGATACTTGTCCTTTGTTGGATATAAGTACAGCAAATGTCATCTTCCTTGCTGAGTTGCTTCTGTAGGATATTGTTTTGATGAGCAGTATTTAAAAATTTTTTAAAGATTTTATTTATTTATTTGAGAGAGAGAGTGAGTGAGAGAGCATGAGCAGTGGGGAGGGGCAGAGGGAGAAGCAGACTCCCTGCTGAGCAGGGAGCCCAATGTGGGGCTTGATCCCAGGACCCTGGGATCATGACCTGAGCCGAAGGCAGACACTTAATCAGCTGAGCCACCCAGGCACCACTTAAATTGTTTAATATAGTGTAATTTATCAGTCTTTTCTTTTGTGGTTGGCATTTTTGGTATTTTAAGTAGGCTCCATGCCTAACTTGGGGCTTGAACTCATGACCCAGAGATCAAGAGTCACACACTAACAACTGAGCCAGCAGGTGCCCCTTTGGTTTCTTATTTAAATTTTTTCCTTTTGAAAATCATGAAGATGTTCTATGTTTTCTTCCCAAAAACTGTATTGTTTTACCTTTTAATTAGATCAAAACTCACCTAGAATTGTTTTATTATATGATCTGAGATAGGGATTAAGATTCATTTTTTTTTGGAATATTTAACTGACCTGGCACCATTTATTAAAAGCATCACACATTCCCTCATTGCATTTTATCTGGTCTAGATCTGTTTCTGGAGTTTCTATTTGGTCTTTTTTTCTGTCCCTTAGCATTATTTTAAATGGCTGTATACTATTTCATTGTCTGGAAGTGTCATATCCCCAATTGCTAGGAATTTAAGTTGCTTTTACTTCAAACGTATTTTCTAAGACCTATCTCCCTATTCCAAAAATAGCATTTTCTATTTCATCAGTGAGCCTTACATACCCTGTTCCCAGTTGGGTGTGTTGTGGAATTTTTTTTAAGATTTTATTTATTTATTTATTTGAGAGAGAGAGAGAGCTCAAGGAGGGGTGGAGGAGGAGGGAGAGGGAGGGAGGGAGAGAGAGAATCTCAAGCAGACTCTGTGCTGAGCATGGAGCCAGACTCAAGGCTTGATCCCATGACCCTGAGATCATGACCTGAGCCAAAACCAGGGGTTGGATGCTTAACTGACTGAGCCACCCAGGCGCCCGGGGATTTTTTTTTTAATTTTAATTTTTTATTTTTTAAAGATTTTATTCATTTATTTGACAGGGAGAGACACAGTGAGAGAGGGAACACAAGCAGGGGGAGTAAGAGAGGGAGAAGCAGACTCCCCACTGAGCAGGGAGCCAGATGCGGGGCTCGACCGGGGGACCCTGGGATCATGACCTGAGCCGAAGGTAGACGCTTAACGACTGAGCCACCCAGGCGCCCCTGGATTTTTTTTTTTTTAAAGTAAAACCGTGCTGTGGAATAAGAGGGAGTGAGGGCCCTTCTCTGGGGGCTGCTGAATGATAGCTGCTATGCAAAGGAAGGGTCTTTTCAAGAGCCAGGGTCTCTGGGGCTGTTGGCAGAGTCACTCTGGTGCCTGGGGCGAGCTATTTGCATCTACATTAGC